GGCACATAAATGATTTTTTATTTTTTTTCTCGATTTTATGTTTACGAAAAACAGGTTTTCGGTATAAAAACGACACGGTTGTGGCCGTGGACAAGTGGGGTTACTATCACTGCAACTCTAGCCACGCGACAGTTGTGTTCAACAACGGGAACACGGTAATCGATCTAAAGCTGCCCGGCCCAGTTTATTTCATAAGCGGCGACCCAAATCACTGCAAAAACGGGCAACGAGTGATGGTTGATGTGATGGATATTAACCCGGCGGGTCAAACCCAACCCGGAGACGAGTCCCCTGCACCCTCACCCAATTGCTCTGACTTTGTTGACCCACAATTGCTCTTTTGTTATGTGGTCCTTCTTGTTGCTTCTATTAATCATATATAGGCTTTGTATTAGTGTTGCTTCTTTTCAGGTTTTATGTTTAGCTAGTTTGGTCTTTAGGTTGTACTTTAAATTTGTTTATGTTTAGCTTGTTTTGTCTTAGGTTGCTTCAAATTTTATGATTACTAGGATGCTTGTTTTCTTTTTCTTTTTTTTTTTCCAACATCTCTACAATTTGCAGTAGAGGGACATCTGTTACATTATCCTGACTCGCTGCATTGTGCTTTGTATTTTGCTAATACTATTCAGTTTTTAACAATTCTAACTTTCCTTCATTTCTTTCTCGCGATTAAAAAAACCAGGGTTATGTTGATTAAAAGACCCGTGCATCACTGTGAAGTGAAATGTTTCTACAATAGATGGAGTCATTTTATGCACAAATCATGTCTAACACACAAAATAGCATAGCAAGGTAAATAGAATCGTACACGAGTCGAGCAGAACTCGATCACATACAAGAGCTAGTAGTTCAGTAAATTATGTAAAATCTCTTATTCTTTCAGCCTAACGAGCAGACCTTAGCTCGTTAACCAAACAAGCTTTTTTAACACACGAGCTCATAATACCTATGACTCTGTCCTAAAAACTATGAAGTATAAAACGCATTTCTACACAGAGAGATAAACTGAAACCTGAGAGCAAAAGGGCCAAAAATTTAAATTTTGAGTCTCAATTGGAACATACTACAAACTCCACACTAAAACCCATTTACATGAAATCATATGTTAACTCTCAAGAAAATGAACAAAAGCATGAAATTTCCAACATTGCTCAAACCTCAGTCGAAGCAAAGATTACAGCGACTCTTGAAACTCATTGGACTCAGCCTCTTGCATCTTCCTCTTGTTCATTTCTTCCTCGTACTTCCTCAATCTCTCATTCCACATCTCCTGAAATAATTATTATTATTATTATTATTATTTAAAAAAAAATAAACGTTTTTTCACAGAAATATAAAAAACCCAGATCGCATATGAAGCTACAGACCTTGTATTTGAGCTCAGCTCGGTGCATCAGATAGAACCCTAGCATCCCGCCGAGTATGGTCCCTGTAACAATCCTAAAATAACCCCATCTCGGAGACTTCATGACCAAATTAGGGTTTTTGTAAACAGAGCAGGAAAAAAAATCGAGCTCTGGTATTCAAAACGGTCGTAAGCGCGTCAGCAATCCGCCGCGAGCAGCCGCGATTGGGTCCACCAGCACCGCATCGGAGAATTAGGGGATGTTTGGAAATCAGGCTTGAGGATTTCTTTCACTGAGCTCTGAAATGTTAGTAGTACCAATTGGATTGAAATTCATCATCTTAGGCCGTAGGTGCTGAGTCCTGGCACAGCCCGTTTGTTTTTGGGTTGTCAATTCCAAATAAGGCCCAATCAAAAAGGTGGGGTATATTGAGGAAATTGCACCCTCTACTTCCCCTTCCTCAATATATTATAAATTTACGTCCCTTAATTTGATATTTATGTAACTACAAAAATAAGCATAAAAATTTGCTAATATACCTAAACTGATAATTTTGCAGTTATATCAGATAATTAAGGGAGATTGGGCGTAGGTTACGGATAAATTAAATCCTCAAAAGGAAAACTGCTACACACGTTCCTCCGATCCCCTTTACACAAGTCCACCACATCCTCCGATCCCCTTTCTGCCGCCGCATCGGCGTCTGCCTCGCTCAGGCACCGCCGCCCCGCGGGTGAGAACATCCGCGACGAGGCCCGCTGCCACGCCTCGCCCCACGGCTTCTCCGCCAAGTGACGCCTTTCAGTGCCGACCCATTCTCCATCGACTCCTACTCCCTCGACGAGATCGTCTATGAGCCATCCCCGCGTTATCTCCAGGTAGGCGATCCGAGAATCGTTTTCCATGGAGTCGACGAGAGAGAAGAGAAATACTTTTTCGGAGGATGATTTATATTCAGTATATTTTCGGTATATTTTGTGTTCTGTTGTGGTGTATTTTCGATTCAGGATAATTTCGGATGATTTCGGTATATTTTGTGTTGTGTTGTGTTGTGTTGAGGTATATTTTCGGTATATTTTCCGTGAAATTGTGTTGTGTTGAGGTATATTTTCGGTATTTTTTGTGTTCTGTTGTGTTGAGGTATTTTTTCAGTATATTTTCCGTGAAATTGTTCTTCCTGTAATCCTCCGGTTTAGCTTGTTCTTGAAGTATATGTACCGTGAACTTGTTCTTCCTGGAATCTCCGATCGATCAATATGTACTGTGAACTTGTTCTTCCTGTAATCTTCCGTGAACTTTTTTTTGGTTCGCCTGTCAATGAAGAGCGACGCCGGGGTGTTTTTTTTTTTTCTGTCTGTATCAATGAAGATTATCTTTCCATCTTCGCTCCTAAAATCTTGCGCTACAAACATGGAATGGTTGTTCCACTATCTGTAACTGATTTTAGGTATAATTGTTATTAATTTTTGCCTATTACGTATAGACACAATTAAATTGGTATGAAGTGTAATGTTGCAATTACTTTAAAATCGTGTAGCATACTTAAAAATTTCCCTTTTATATTCGAGAACCATGAAAACCGAATCGAAATTAACTGAACTGAAACTAATAAAAAATAACTGGTACGATCCATTTAATTAGAAAAAAATTGTGCTGAGGTTATATCGAATACTCAATGGTTCTGGTTCTTGGTACCTACTTTCAATGTATGTATATAATCGAGTAATTGAATGTATATACATTATACACAATATATGTATAGATAATTTTATTTACTTTAATCAGTTTTTGCTTCATTTGGTCACCTTTGTATTTCGGTTCTCAGGTTTTACAATTTTGTATTTAAAAAAACTTGCAAATGGAATAATAAAATGAGAATTGAAGGTAATCGTGAGAAAATGACATAGAAATATATTTTATTTGCACATTTTTATTTTTGATTAATTGCATGAATACAACTTTCAAGGTTTATAAATGATTAATTAAAGGGTTATTTTTGTCATTGATTTTAAACCTTTAGTTTTTTGTAACTCGTTTATGAATTATTTATATATGATTTACTTTTTTTTAGATAGAAAGTATGATTTAATTTTACATGTTTTATTTTAGCAAAAGCTTTCAAATAAACAGGCAAAGAGTCACTTTCCTTACCTTTAGTAAACCAACATATTTTTGGGCTCCATTGGATGGCCGCATCATATCCAGACCAGTAATTTCTTCTTTAAAGCCCATATTAATTCTGGGCTAAAGCCTCATGTTCAATTGGGTCTCGTTAGAAAGCCTGCTGATTTAATGCTTCAGCCTGAAAAAAAAAAAAAAAAAAATGTGTGTACTGTGTTCTGTGTAGTGTGTAGTGTGTGCTCCGAGCTTCGACTGATGAAAACAAGGGTGGATTTTGACTTATGAGTGCAGGTGAGTATGGCGTTTTTTGATCTGGGCTCGAATCTATTTTTTCGTTTTTCCCTTTTTCAGTCTTTCTCAAGGTGGGTATAGGGTTTTTGTTTTTTGATTGCTAGAATTTTATTGGGAACTTTTTACTTTCAATGTTGGATTAATTATACTTATTACCAGAGCTACTGATCGAACTTTTGAGTATCTGAATAATTCGACTATCTGATTGCTCTCTCTCTCTCTCTCTGATCTGGTGCACTGATAAAAATTGTTGAGATGTGATTTGTCTTATATTTTCTGCAGTTTTAACACATATCAGTTGACCCTATGCAAACCAGAGATTGAAACTTTATGCCGAATCTTTGTATGCACAACGAATTGCAGAACTTAAATGTTGGATATACGTTTCCTTTGATGTTCTGTCAATCGTTTTGTAAGTTCAAATGTTTGAATGTTCGGCTTCTCTGTTCCCTTTACGCATTATTCTCTGGAATTGAACTTCAGAAACTTCATAGCTTTGTTAGTCTTGGATAATATTATGGCTGCAGATTGTATTTTTATATCATTATTGAACTTATTATCAAATATTATGACTATGGATTGTGTTTCAAATCATTATTGAACTTATTATCAGTGTTTTTTTTTTTACTTGTATCTCAATATAAGTAGGAGGAGCATTTGGCGGAAATAGAGGCGCAAGACCCGTGCCACCTGAAAAAGGAGTTTTCCCGTTGGATCATATGCACCTATGTGACCTGGTAAAAACACTTGGAAAAAACTGATTTTTGATAATGTGAATGTGTAGAACATTACGAATGTATTATTACTCGAACTACCCCCAACGTTTTAGCCCGAGTACAAAAATCTAGTCATGTTTTGTTCTTCTCTAACGAACGAGCGTCAATGCGTAAACGGGGCATCTGAAAGTGGTATGTGTATAATTTCGAAAGATATAATATTTGGTGTGAACTTTGAAGAAACTCTGTTAAATTATACTTGTGTGCATTTTGTTTGCCAGCTGTTGAGAGGTTCAGTTTTTACCTGCAGGAAAAGAAAGATTACATCAGTTGTCTGAAGTCCGAGAGCCATAAATCTGAAAAATGTAGACAGTTTTCTAAGAAGTACCTAGAATGCCGTATGGAAAAGTGAGTTCATCGATTGTAAAAGTGTTTTTACATGGGAAGTTTAAATTCATGTTGCGGCTAGCTGAGATTTGGGTTTTACGGCCTGAAAATTTATAAATGATTCGAGGTTAGTAATGAACCTTTGTTAGGGTTAATTACAAAACTATCCATGAAGATTTGAATCAATTGTGCAATATTATGAATGTCATGGGGATGCCTCAACATATTTGAGGAAGTATTTGAAGTTTATGAGAATTTAACTTTATCTTTCTTGCACTTTAAATAATCCTTGATTTTAAGTTGATTTATGTATATTCTGGTGTAATTTTTTGCAGGAACCTGATGGCAAGGCAAGATATGTCAGAACTTGGATTTAGAGATGTTAAGGAGTTGCAAGCTTCTGCAAATGAAAATGTCACTGTGAAGAATCTATAAAGTGAACCCTTTTCTTTAATCGCATTGACAGATGAGGCAGATATACGGCTATACCTTTGGGAGAAAACTATTTTCTTATGCATTCTTGTTTTATATACGAGTTGCATGAGAATAGTGTAATACAGTTATTAGCAAAGCTCGGGTTTTCGTTTGTTCAGGTAATCACTTGAAGATATTCTACATTTATTTGGATTTATGATTGGTTTTCTGTTATTCTGCGCAACGATTAGGTAACCATACTATTTTTGAAGATTAATAGTTATTTTGTTAGGTCGGTCTAACCATTAAGCCAACATACTTTTTTCGTACATATTAATTACAAGATGCTTTGCTTAAACAAATAATGATATTTAATAGGCATGTTTGCAAACCCATACGGGTGTGTTTGTATAGGAAAAAAAATTCAATTCATACTCAAATCATACTCAAAATCTAATTCAACTTTAACTCTACTCCACTATCCCTAATATCATCAATATAATTAAATAATATTAATCAAATCACTTTTACATATTACATCAATTTTAATTTACCATCCATCACATAATATTAACTAATCATACTTCACATTATCTCTTACTTTTACATCAAATTAACTTTAATTATTTTATTTTAAATATTATTTTAATATAAACTTTCGCACTGGAAATGAGCTTCTTAAAAGTCTGACCTTGCCACCTATATTTATTAGATTTTTTAGCCCCATTTAACCTATGGATTTATTTCTCCCTTCCGCTAATTGCTTCGACAAGAGGTTGGAAAATCTAAGTCCGATCACGGATCACGATTATAGGTACCTGGGAGAGAGGTTGGAAAGTCTAAGTCCGATCACGGATCACGATTATAGGTACCTGGGAGCATACCGACGCACCTTGTTTACTTCAGCAAGCAAAAATAGTAATGATTTACGATTCGAGCAGAAGAGAAGAGATATTCTCATACAGAAAAGAAAAGACTTACCACTTGGCCACACTCAGAAGCCGAAGTCCGAGGAGATAGAATAGAAGTCCGCCCCAGTCTAATTTGAAATCGAAATCTCACTAACAGCTAATCATATCATATTTTTTTTAAATTAACTCTATTTAACAAAAAAACTCATTTTGAGCGGATATATTTGTATAGCCCTAAAAGATAAAGATTGAAAAATATATATGGCCTATTGTATTCATTTTATGTTAAAGAAAAAAGGCTGCTAAATTGCAAGGCCTGAAAAACTATTTATGAAGCGCATGAAAGAATATGTTGATGCCCTGATAACTTATCACACCTCAAGGTAAGTTAGTTCTTTTTTTTTTTTCTCGAGGTTCCAGGCAAACAGCTCCGGCCCCTCAGACACTGCCTCCAATTAAACCGCGGTAGCCACACAATGGCTCTCAGGTACTTAATACCCTCAACTACCGCGCACAAGGAGTCGATCCCCAAGTGATCGCTCGCTGGCCCTCCCAGTTCCAAGTTAGCCCCATCTATCCAGCCGCTGGTTCCCACCGAAGTGATCGCTCGCTGG